AATTATTCTGGCTCAACTACGGAGCATGGGAGGCTATCAGATAGATCAAACGACTCCTCTATATGCGGAGGTGTTGGAAAAAATCGGAAAACTCGATGATGCGAACAGCTAGAGAAGATATGCACTAAAAACTTTGATGACGGGAAAATGTCCTATCCGGGGATCGAACCGGGCTGGACCTATGTCATATTCATTGATCGAATCAATAGACGTGGACTAAGTGAGCTCCTCCCCTTCATCACGAAGGCCTAATAATGAACCTTCATACGATCTGTGATACTACTACTCCATTGATAATGCTACATTATCGCCTTATTCCATTTATGATACCACTCAATGGAGGTTCGATTCCTGGCGATGGCATTTTTATTGCAATTTATTCTCGTATGTTGATTATTATTGTTCTTGTTGTTGTTGTTGTTCTTGTTTATATGTCTAATCTCGATCTTGATCTCAACTTCATCGTCGGAGGGGATAAGTCTAATAGTAATAATGTAATAGTAGGAGGAGTAGGAGGATATAGAAGTGGTGGTTATATTGGTAAAGGGAATAATAGCTCAAGTAGAGTTATTAAAGAGGGACGACAACGACTACTACGACAACACTATGATGTTGTAAGGAATGATAATAGGAGACAACATAAGAAGAAGAAGAATGATGAAGAAGATAATGCCAAGGTCACTACTACTAGTACTAGGCAAATGCCTACAAATGAGCAGCAGCATCATCATGATGATGATGACTCTACTCCTGATGATGATGATGATGATCATCATAATATATCACTATCACGAGCATTATCAACGACCACTACCACTACTACCACTAGAGCATTGAAGAGTTATTCATCTATCCCACATAAAATAGTGATACACTGTGGTGCTGGTAATCATAAAGAAAGTAAATCTAGTGGTATATTCTGTGCTACACAATTCAATCAAATACATACATTGGATAAATCAATATTATCACAATTACAACATCTTAAATATGATGTATGTACAAATGTAATAATCATGACTACTACGAGATCATCATCATGATCATGATGAATAATAATAGGTACAATCACAGACAATACCCATAGCATTAGAAGGTAAGGATTGTCTTATACGATCGAGTACAGGTAATAATAATAATTAGTAATAATAGGCTTAATATTATCCCGCTCCCAACAACAATAACAACCATCACCATCTTATCAACGCTTGTTGTTATTATTATTAGGTTCGGGTAAGACATTAGCATTTGGTGTACCTATAGTTGATAGACTAAAGAAACTAATACCAGAACCAGTTAGAAAGGATGGTGTTCTATGTAATATAACAACACGAAGAAGAAGAGTTTGAGTATTATTATAAATGATTATTATTGTTATAGGTGTTATATTATCACCAACTAAAGAGTTGGCGCTACAAACTGTTAATGTAATGGAAAAGTTAACTCAGATGATGCCAAATATCGTATGTGGTAATAATAATAATAACAACAACAACAACAACAGATAATGAATATTATTATTGGAGTATCATAATAATAATAATTTAACATTATTGTTAGGATCACTTACTGGTGGGGAGAATCCTAAAAGTGAGAAGTCTAGGATAAGAAAGGGTATTAATATATTATGTGCTACTCCAGGAAGATTAAAGTAATATTATTATTAATGCTCATCGTCATAATCATAATCATGGTCATCATTATAGCGGTGCTGATTTATTATTATTATTAATATTGTAGTTACCATTTGAGTAATACATCATCATTAAAGGTTGATAAATGTATGGTATTAGTAATGGATGAGGCCGATAGATTATTAGATATGGGATTTGAAGTACAAGTAAAGGATATCTATAATAGATTACATAATAATGTAACCAACAATAATAATAATAATAATACCAACAACAACATACAGTGTATGTTGGTATCGGCTACATTGAATAATAAAGTAGAAGAATTAGCTAAATGGGCACTAGATGATGAGGCAAGGTGATATTAATAATATTATTAGTAATAGTAATAGTAATGTTGTTGTTGTCATTTTAGGTGGATTGATTGTGATAATACACCTCCAAAGAAACTGAAACAATCAGCAATTATATATGATGAAGAGAAGGATAAGTTACCATTACTAATAGGGCTTCTACTCAAGGTAACAACAACTGGAAACCAGCAACACCAACAAGAAGAAGAAGAATAACTGTTCATGATTATAATTAGGTATGCAATAGTCGAGATCAACAACAGCATCATCATCAACGTGATGATGGTTATGGTTATGATGAGAGTCATCGTATAATGGTATTCACCTCTAATTGTGCTACAGTTGATTATCTACATAATCTATTAACTACTTTACCCTGGCCTATGGGTAGTAATAATAATAAAGGAAGAATAAGAGGAGGAGGAGGAGGTATAGGGAATGATAGGGAGGATGGTATATGCAATAACAACTACTACCCTAAAAGTAATAATAATATAAGTATACATTTATGAATAATATTGATTATTATTATCAGGTAGAAGGCAATTGAAACGTGAGATGAATAATAATAGAGTAGCAGTAGTTGGTAGTGGAGGAAGTGGAAGTGGTATTAGTGATGATGCTATGAAGATGATGGCTAGAGGAGGTAATATGATGCTTAATAATAATACCAATACTATTATGATCATCATAATCATCAATGATAATGATAGTGGATAATAATGTCCATAATCATCATCATCATCTTGTTGTTGTTCTACTTCAGTATCGTCAACATCATCAACAACAATTAAAGAGAATAATGATGTTGTTGTTGCTGCTCCTAATGATCCTGATGATGATGATACTACTACTACTAGTACTACTCCATTAATACTAGGATCAAGAATGGGTATATATAAACTACATGGTGATCTTCCTGCTGAGGATAGAAATGGTGCTATGGCTGATTTTACAGCAACATCATCATCATCATCATCACATCATCATCATCATGATGATGATGAAGGCGATGTGAAGTCCTATATGACGACTAAGGTAGTAATAGCAATAGGATTATGTATTATCTCTATTTCGAGGTTGTTGTTATTGTTGTAGTTACTTATATGTACTGATGTGGCGGCTCGAGGATTAGATATTAAGGATGTTGATATGGTTATACAATATGATGCTCCTACTACATCTATAGAGGAATATATACATCGTATTGGTAGAACTGCACGTATTGGTAAATCTGGATCTTCTATATTAATGTTACGTCAACATGAAAAGGAGTAATATACATCATAATAATAATAATCGTTATAGTATATTGTTAGTTATATACATCGTGTGGAGTCCTCTATGATCGATAACAATGATGATACCACCACTACCACCACGACTAATGCCGCTAACAATGCGATCCAGAAGGACAAAAAGCAATCATCATCATCCGTTATCACTGTTATTGATAATACAACATCGATAGTACAAGAGATATCAAAGGCCGCTCCTATGAAGTCACCATTATCTATAAAGGCCGAGGAGAAAGAGGAGGAGGAGAAGGATGAGTCTACTAAGAAGAATAAAAATAAGAGTATTACTCCTTATCAACGTAAACAAGCACGTAAAGCCGTCGTTAGGGATATTAAAGGGTAGTAACAGTAATAGCAGTGGTAGTAGTAGTAGTGTGGTGATATATGATGATGTAGTAGATACATATCATCAATGATTGGTCGTCATATTGAGCAAGATGAGTTATTATATAACTCGGCAAGGAAGGCATATTTTAGTTCACTACGTGCATATCGTACATACCCCCATCAACTTAGAGATATATTCGATTTCCAACAAATCGACTTTAGACTATTTGCATCGGGTTTTGGCCTCAAACATGTAATAACAATAATAAGGGTTATTATTATTATCATCAATAATCATCATACTTATCATCATCATTATGATTAGGTTCCCAAGACTTCCTATGATGTATCACAATATGAGAGTGGTCATGGTCAGCAGCTAAAGAGGAAATATGTAGGACCAACGAAGAACAATAACAACAACAATGAAGAGTAATAATAATAATAATAACAACAGACGATGATTATGATTTATATTTAGTTCATCATCATATTATAATAATAAAGAAGTGAAGAAAGTACGTATCAAGAATGCTCAACAGTTAGCTCTAGATGAGTTTGCTGCATAATATGTCCAATACTACTACTACTACCAATCCATTATTACTATATCTTGTTAATACTTGTTAATACTACATGGATTCAATACAAATACCGTCATAAATATTATAATAATGCCATTCCTACCATCATCATCAATGATGATAACTCATAATAGCAGCAGTACTACAGATAATACACCACCATCTACTACTTTTAAAATGGTAGAATATTATGCTAAAGTAATGAGTAATATGATGATGTTAATAACGTTGACGTATTGTTAGGAATGTTATCATTGTCAACATTTAGCACCTACATGGAAAGCTGCTGTTCATGAATGGAACAATAATAATGGTATTATTCAGCAGCACCACCACCATCCTAAAGTGGAGTGGATTCAAAAGGAATGTTATGGTCATAATTGGCAACCTGGTAATAGTAGTAATAATATTTCTCAAATAATAATAACAATAATATGATATTGTAGGTAAGGATAATACATTGTGTGAAATATCTCATATTAATGCATTTCCGGATATAAGATTATATGAATTATCAAATAAGGATGGGAATATACTCCATACATGGAAGTAGTATGTTCTTAATATATTATTATGATGATGTAGTAGATATGAAGGTGATAGGAGTGTATCTGGACTCATTGGATTTGTTAATAATCATGTAACACTTAATCATCATGGAAAGCAGTATTATCATACTAGAGGAATGGATTCTACTATGGAGTTCATGATTATGATGGTAATAGTAGTAAGGGCAGTATGCTATTAGATTATGTATATATCCAGAACCCGACTACTGCCAGGATGATGAGGGCATGTGCCTCCTCTCTTCACGCCGATTGTTTCATATAATTGTACTAGATGTTATAACACAACTAGTTATATAATGAGAAAGGGGCCATTGTGTTCACTAGTATCGGCGTAGTGGATTACTCCGAGGAAGAGGTTATAATATTATGAATACCATCCTGAAGGGGATAGTTACCACATTATTGGATTATTAGTATGGGTACCTTATCCACAGCTTTAATGATAAAGTTGCTCTTGTCGATGATAAATCTCTTTTTACATTCCTAAAACAACATCATCCACTACTATTGTGAGTATATCAACTAATACTACTATTACCTTAATACACTGCTTTATGGCATCAAGACCATCTTCTTGGGTCATATCCTAAAACCAATAATATCCTATCTAGTAGTAGTATGGTGATGACCATGACTACCTTCTTGTAGAGTTTATCCAATAAGCCTAATACGAAATATGCCGCATAACCATGTGCACCACGTGTTATCTTCTGACAAGATGCTAGATAATCCATATAATATAGGGATGCACCTATAAGTAGGAATTGGATTATCATCAACTAATATATAATAATTATTATTACTTCCATCTTTATCATCATATCCACCAATTAACATATTAACTTGATAAGGACCTTTCCTTAATGCATCAGCTAGTTCATTCCTGAGGTTAGAGTATTATTCCACATCATACTATTATTACTACCTAGTAAAACTAGCCAATGCATGAGTAGTTAATTGTACACCATTAACTAATGCATATAGTTCCACATTACGAGATATGAACTCCAAAAACTGATTACTATCAGCCTGTGGTCCAGCAGCTAATAACAACAAGTCATGATGATGATGATAATGCCGGTTGTTGTTGTTAGTTTTATTATTACTACCTGCTACTAACTTATTATTATCCATCTCATATATCTTATCCTCAGTAGTCTTAAACTTAACGATAGATTGTTCGACATGGGAATCCGCAGCAATAATAACCCAATCTTTACCGGCTATACCAAAAGCACAATCAGTCATCAAGTAGTAGAAG